AGCGGCATCTGCACACGCACGGACGATGAAGGGGCGCGTGCGAAGGGACGGGTAAAGCCACCAGATTTCGTAAGAGTGGACGAACCGGGTGTTTGCATGGCGTTGTGGTCACCGAAACGTGTTTACGACCGGCGTGTTTGGCGTCCCGTACCGCCCGTGTACCCAAAAGTGGTCCCAAAGGGGCAACAAATGATGTTGCACGTGCCCGTTTGTCGGTCAATCTGGGTATCTCTTCTAGCGGTCGAAATGGCTACATGAGGGATTTCGCGGTCACTTGATAAGTTTCTCGTGGACAAAAGGCCAAAGGTACCTGGCTTCACAGGCGAACAGTAACTTCGAGTTTGTCCTTGCTTCGATTATTCAAGTTGGTTTTTGCACGCAGAAAGAGGGTCGAGAGGCTCGAAACGTAAGTGAAATTAATTGCATTTGTGTACTTTAGGAGTGCCGTGTAAAGTTATCTCTGGGAAAGGTCGTGTTGAGCGAGAACGAAAGAAGACAAAGAGCGAGGCTTCCACGTGCCGTGCGAAATCGGCTGGATCCCCAAGTTCTTCCTCCCCGCGGATTTGGTCGCGCAACCTTAAGATCTCTCCTGCCGCAATTTTAACCGCTCGGTGAAACGCTTGCATTTGCCGGCAAACCGGCCCTAGCAGTTGGTCGCGGAGTCCTTGCAAAAGGAGTGAGCGAACACAAGTGTCGCTGTCGTCGCCACGTCTCAACTCTTGGCTGCCGAAGCTTTTGGAGCACCGTCGGGCTGAAAGGCTGTTTGCAGCAGAACTGTTTGGGAGCTTTTGTGTTTTGTCTTTGTATAGCAAATTTATGCGTGTTTGTTGAACGCCATGTCTGCTGTCTTCTGCGTGTTCCTTGCCATGTTACTGCGTTTGTACAACTTCAGTTCGAAGAAATATTTTTTTTCTTTAGTTTACAACTTGATTCAAGTGTGGTCCTCCCAAAACTTGACTGGGCCACTTTCAATCTTGCCTGATGGTAGTGATCTGTCTTGACTTGCGTTGATCCCTGGTTGTCCGTAGTAAGGCCCGTTTCGGTTCTCGAGCTTTTGTAAAAGGTGTCCATTTGGGCGGTGTGACGTTGTAGATTATAAGCATAATGCTTCGAACAAGGACAGGTCATTCTTGTTTTGGTATATAGTTGGATTTCAGGAAAAAGAGCATGTAATATGTGCATAAATTTATATTTTGAGTAAGGACATCCACTTTGTGTTTTCGTTGCAATTGCTGTAAAACCTGTCTGTAGTTGAATCAAATTTTCAGAAAAAGTTTTTTTTCACATACCACTCTTTGGTTTACTCTAATCAAAGTCTTCACTATTATAAGCATTTGGTATAGGAGGGCATTCCTGTATGATATTGCTTTTTTGTTCTACAATTCTTAAAGGAGCTGTGCAACGATTTTAACGTTGAAAGAAATGGCATCTTCTGCTTTTGATATTGTTCACTTGTCACAAATGACAGAAAACACACCTCCTTTCATTGAAATGTTGCGATTCCGCAGCGTAATAGCGAGGCAAAACTTAGGATATTCCATGACCAGCTACCGCGAGCGGCGGCCATGAGAAACACGTGGCGTGACTACAATGGGGAGTCTTGTAGAAAGATAGCAGGTTGTGCGAATACCTGTTCGACAAAAGGTAACGTTTCTATAAATCTTGTCGTTCCAACATATATATAAATGCATCAAAAACCCGGTATCATCGACAAAACTTTTATTACACGGAGTTTTAGTGGCGCCATCTATCCTAGGTCCACAAAACCGTCAGCTCTCTGCTACCGCAAACAGCCGCCAGAAGGCGGGAGGGGGAGGGGGACAGGGCCGAACGGGTATGGCCGGACCCGGATGAGACTTTCCTCCTTTCACCATATTGTTTGCGCGGCGCCTGCCAGCGCATGGTCACGCGGTTGCGAGCGGATGAGTTCTCGCTGCTCACTAATGGCTCTAAAGAGAGAACTTTACCGGAACCCTGTGCCTACTTCATCAACGTCACTGCGCACGTGACCCGGAAGGCGACGTACGAGTTGAGAGGCGACAAAAACCCTAATCTTTTTCATTTTTTTAAAATAAAATCTAGGGTATCAAGACAAAATCTGTTTTCTGTAGTTCACTTCAGAAGTGTCAGGCGTCAACTTCCACAATTATTTAAGCAAAGCCCTGAAATTGTTGCACAGCTCCTTTAATTGCTCTGTCCTTGTGATCTGTAGCATCAGTACTGTCAGATTTATTTTGCTGCACACTGGTAATTGTGTCTGGAGCTGTAATTGGCGAGCGCTTCTTAGGTGATTGTAAATGGTGTGTGGAGCTGATGTGTAATCTGACCAAGCTATACTCTTTATTTCCAAGGTGACCATCTTCAGCAATTCGTGGACTAGTCTACAAAAATTGTTTGAATTATGCATTGCCCTGCCAGATTTGAGCAGTGTGTTTAAGATTTCTTCAAGTATGGTCATTTTCCTGTTTGGGGTCTTTGTCGTCGAATATTAGCCATTCCTATGTGATGGATTTGAGTCAACAATCGTTGATGTCGCATGTTTTATCTCATTCTCATTTACGTTTACATTTCTTCACATTCATGTTTACATTTCTTCACATTCATGTTTACATTTCTTCACATTCACATTTACATTTTTTCACATTCATGTTTACATATGTTCACTTGTGCATATGGCCAGATTAGGTTTTGAGCATAAGTTAAATCTCCTTTTAAGTGTTTTGTATTAGTCCCTCATTTAAAGGCATTAAATTTGAGAAGTCACCAGTTGCATTTGTTTGAACGCAAAGATTTATATTTAACGGTGTTTCTGTAGGTTACTGCATTTTAAATTTTAATTCTTCTCAGTGTGACGTTTCTTGACATGTTTACTTTTAGGTTCACTATAGTACAGTCTAAGCTCGTTATAACAGACCTGGTTACAACAGATATTTGGATATAACATACTGATTTGTGAGGTTCGGTTGGTTTTCCTCTATGCACCATTGACTCAGCTTCATAGCTGCATACAACATACTCCTCTTACAACAGACCGAAATCTTGGTCAAAATCAAGGTCTGTTATAACGAGCTTAGACTGTAGTTGTGTTGTGCGGGGTGTCTGCTGTAGGTCAGAAATGTGACCAGTGCAGTAATGTCGCTAGCCTGGAGTGTTTATAGGGGCGACGCAACAATTTTTGCGCTCGGTAAATACTGCTCAGAATTAATCCTAGACATTTATAACTTATGAAAGACAGATTAGTTTTTTTTCTCGACGCAATGGCAGTCACAGAAAAACTTCGAGAAAAACAAACGGCGTTCACGCACTCGGCTTGTAGCCAAAACCATCGGCCACGTGATCTGGAGCCGATTATATGCCGGCATTGTTTACCGTAGCCACATGCTGAGGTTCCACACATTGTTAGGGTTCGACTATTCCCTTTGTCGCAGTGATTGGGCACGATCCACTACCCGAATGAGCGTCGAGGCATTGATTATCGCAAGGCAGTGGCGTAGCCAGGTATATTTTTTGGAGGGGGCAAAAAAAATCAAATTGGCAACCCCCCAAAAAAAAAATTTGTTGTTTTCTGACACTCCCCTTTTTTTTATGAAGGGGGAGGGGGGTCAAAATGCACATGTATATTATAGGGTCGGCTGAATTTCGGGATGGGCGGGGGGGGCTGATGCCCCATAAGCCCCCCCGCTGGCTATGGCTACGCCACCGTCACAAGCCCGAAATCGAATGCTCTACAGTGCTCGTGTCCACTCTATGAACCGCGTTTAAATATCGTCGCTGCAGGGGTTGCAGAGCTTGATGTCAAAATCTTCTGGGATGGCATCAATTAACAACACCAACAATCTGGTCCCCCCAACACTGTCGTCAAATTTCGTGAAGGAGAGACTCTAAGAAAATATCTGCTTCCATCCTCAAACTTGTGTGTGGACGAAGAAGCTTTTTGATCAGTGGCATTGCGTGTAAGCATACTCGTGTCCCTCTAGTGTCGATAAGCTTGTGTACAGCGAGAAACATTCCTACCCAGTATCGTTGCATGGGCCCCTTAAAGGGCAACTCCGCTTCACTCTTGTTTTTGAAAGAACAATGCAGTCCTCTTCAGTATCACCTAGGAAGACCACATGGCAAATATTACGACCTGATTCTGTCTAAATGTTTCTTAAACGGTCCGGCAAACTTAGCAACTCGCCAAGTTGTCGAAATCGGCTGACTCGAGCGGGCGAATGGAGGCGCAATTAACAGTGCAGTAAAGACTACGGCATGAGTGTGGCCAACATTGAGCTAAACGTCATGACCATTGCCCCTTTTTGCTTGTTTTTACTTCTCCGGGCAAGCGTCACGGGTGATGTCAGCAGCGTTCCGACTCGGCGCTCAGCAGTGTCCACGTGATTGGCGTAACGCGCCTACGTAGCGCGCTTCTCAGGAACCGTCCGCCATCTCTCGCGTCACAACCACCATCGTCATCTCACCGTTTGGGATTATTGTCTCTCGGCGTTTCGTTCACAAGCGCAGCGCAGACTTGTGCCGCAGTTGTGCAGACCTCATTGAATGTCGTAGACGTCAGAACGTGGTGAAGAGTGTGGTGCATACGACACTTGCGCCTGGCACACGCCCTTTCCAATCCAGGCCCTCAATGCCTAGAGAATCCCGTGACATCTCGTACCATGTGATAGACATGTTCTTGGCGGCCCGAGGCCAATGTTGCCGGACGGAGTTGAAGTTTTGGTTTCTGCTCATGTTTAAAATTAGATTTAACAATATATATCTTATTTTTCGCGAAGCAAACGACTGAGTCTTTTACTAGTGCATTTTAATGCGAAATCACCCATTATCCTGAAATCTTCAGAATTGAGCGGAGTTACCCTTTAAGTTGGTTAGGCGGTTACAAGAGGGCACGGTGCTCTTGGCACAAGAGAATGCAAAGGTGTGAACCAGCCTTAATTGGCTGGCGAGGTGAGTCCATCGACGGAACGTCTAAGCGAGGCAATCTTTCTTTTCTCCACCATCAGCGAATCCGCCGGACGGCCTGCAGCTGATGCTGGGCTACGTCGAGTCGTCGGGTCCCCACGGCAAGCCGAGCTTCGTGTGCAACGCCTGCAGCTACCAGACTGAGCGCAAGGCACACATCATGCGCCACCTGAGGGGCCACGCGGGCGAGCGCCCCTACAGCTGCCAGCACTGCGTGAGCGCCTTCGTGCACAAGCACCACCTGGACCGGCACACGAGGCAGCTGCACGGCAGCGCGGTCAAGGCCCGCAAGGGCAAGCGCTGAGGCCTGCGTCCTTCTTGCACGGCGACGCGCTCGAGGTCTGCCTTTGTCAGAACGCGAAGTGGAAGCTGCGCTCGGAGTGTAGCGTGGCCACGACGTGCTCCAGTGAAGGCCGGCTTCTGCGTTTGCGTTTGAGTATGCTTCGAGCGCGTTGTGTCAACATCATCTGGAATCGATGCCTGTGCGCTCGAATTTCGACCCCATCGCAGGGAGATTGAGCAGGGACCCGATTTGGACGTGAGTACTGCGTCGGCATTTGGATAGCGACAGCGTCCACTTGGTGTGTCGAAGGATGCGCGGCATCGGGCTTGGACACATAGAACCCTTCAACTATTGCGCCCTCTTACGGTTGATCTGAAGATGCTGCAAAGTGGCATAATGGGGAGTCTATAACTCGTAAATAGTAACTTTCAAGAGTCTGTAAACAATCGGTAGACTTGCCCTTTTTCACGGCGTCTTCTGCGCACGCCACTTTGCAATATCTTCTGATCGACCGCAAGAGGGCGTAATCTATGAAGGAGTCTCTCGTCGAGTTGGCGCCATCAATGTTACTGGAACGATTCAGTTGGGAAACTGCTACAGGAGCCTGCTTTGAAAAAGTGGCTCTGATCAGCACTCGAGAACCTAACTCGACGCGATCGCAACGCCGCCGTTTCTCCCGCAGCGGCCACTTTGGTAACTTCATGGCTGCGTGTGCCGGTCCAGTTGAGTCGCGCAAGGGCCGGTGGTGCCACCCACAGCGGCATCTCACAGTGGCTATGCAAAGCAACTTTCACGTTTTGACTCTCCTCTAAATGGCAGTGCCGTAATCGTATCTATAATCAGTGACAGGTCAAGAACGAAGGGGAAGCTCCTCCCACCTTTTTCCACTTTAGTAGAGCGAACGCTGGAGAGGAGGCGACCCCCTCTAAACCGTTTGCTCCGCTGAAGTGGAAAGGGGTGAGAGAAGCCTCCACTTCATTCTTAACCTGTCACTGAGTGTAGTTTGGTCTCAGTGGCCGCGAGCAGTCCGGGTTTCAAGGGCGAGTTTCCCAACGGAGTCTGCAATGTTCGCTTATCTCCCACCAAGGCTAGCAACGCCATTACTGCCGAGGTCACCATCGAGAATAGCCCTGCAGTTACTAGCTGTCTGCCAACTTTCATTGTTGTAAAAAAAAAAAAGAAATCAAGTTATGTTAAAAGTATGGGTATAGGTTAACTTTCGAGGGTGGGGCATCTCTCCGGATATTACCGTAGGTGGGGTCGGTGGTCTTTTTTCGTAACCGCTTATAACGCGGGCACGCTGGCCCCACCTGTCTGGGAGCCCGGAACGCTACCGACCCTTGGACAACAAGAAGGTATTGCAGTATTTGTGAGAACAAATCTATGCATTATCTACGAGAAATTGTCACTTGTAAGTTATAACGCCAAAATTATTTTGAGGCCACGGTGAAAAAATGATGCATAAGAAAGCAACGATATATACGTAGGTCGGGAGTGTTCTAGGGCTACTTCGACAGATGGCGTGAGTGTGCCTGTCTGTTAAGCGGCTGCGAGAGAATGTAATGCACTCGAGCAGACTCGGACAAAGATCTGTGAACCGGCCTTAAAGATGTATGATGCTTCGTGGCAGCCGCGGCATAAGCAAACTGGCCGGCGAAGTCGGTCTATTGCAGTCTCTACGGCAACACATGGGCCATCGTCAGGTGTGCTAACTTCTCATTGTTCCTTCATTTTGTGAAAATATAAACTGAGGAAATCAACTTTTTGAAAACGGTTTCTCGCGTACATGGAACAGCAAATTGTCACACTATTTTAAGGATCTCCCACTACGTATGTCGTGTTACAGATAGTCGAGACTCCTCGAGGGGGAAAAACCGATTAATGAAATTTGCTTAATCGACAGTGAAACAAAGTAGTCGCCATGTGCGTAGTCACGTTTTTATGCCAGCATGTGCAGATTGTTCCGAGCGTGTGAGACACCGGCGTAGCCTTCCACCTTGCTCTCCTCAGAAGTTGTCCATGAACAGAGTCCCACGACACTGCCGCATTCCATGGTGCTCAATGGGACTGGATCCCCGTCAGAACGTGAAAGTGACAATTGGGTGTGTGCGTATCAGCAAGCTTCTGCATTCCAAGCGACAAGCGTCGGGTGTGCGGTGGATTCATGCCGGGCGCGCTTTGGAAGATGCATCCGAAGATGCGTTTACGGACACTCAACACTACTCTTAATACAATCGTCACCTTTCCTTACGATCCGAGTCTTCCTTTCTTTTGTTTCTCCTTTGTCCCCATGTACGCCACGCGGTGTTTGATAATTGTTGGTAAGGGTCCGCTTTGACCGGCGATGACACCTTGGGGCAGGGTGTTGCCGCAAAGTCGACGGATGTTACTCGGAATTCCCCAGCAACCCGCATGCCTTGTACTCCCCCCCGAAACGGAGGTCACGTTTTGTTACAGACACAAGATGGGCCAGTTCGGCAAGTTACGTGGCTCCTTGTTTGTTTTGGAATGAATGCGTTGCAAACGCCTAGTCTTACGCTGGCATCGCTGTTATTATGACCGTCAAGTTTTCAGACCTGATTGGAACTGCAGTGCTGTCTCTTTCCGTGTGTCCGTGGACTTTCAAGTATGAGCATCTGTTGCCCACATGCCGGCCGTTGAGGCTGCTGCGCACGTTTACGTTTGAGCGCAATCGATTGCATTGCAACCGCTTCCGAGAGAACACTGGCATCTGTCGGGTCTCGTACAACCAGACGGAAGGTATTAAAGTACTCGCGAGACCAAATCTATGTGCCATAAGAAATGGTCGCTCGTGACCCTCAATATTTTAAGGATGCGGTTAGCAAACGCTGCGCAAGGTGCACGCAGATCGGCACAGTTTCAGACCTACCCAGAAGGTGGTGCCAGTGCGTGTTCTCGTCGGCGGTCCTACTGCAGTCAATAGCACTCGAAATGCAAATGTGTTAACTAACCTTTAGTGTGCTTTCAAATGCGTAGGCATTATCCTCACCCACTCGCCGTTCCGCCGCCCTGAACGTGTGGTGGCAGGCATGCGGGCTCGCTGATGCCAAATGCGACAGACTCTTCGGTTTGACTTGGAATGACAACTGGAGGCTGCAGCGCCGACATGACGCCCCTGTACAGCGTGCTGACGTCGGACAGAGTCAAAAGCCCCCGACGTCTCGGGTACGTATAGCCCTTCGGCGATCATAGCCGCCAAGCAGCGCACTCTTCGATCAGCTCTTCGGAGTAACGGGGACCCTTTTTGTTGTAGTTGTCAATCTGGCCCAGCAAAATGCGAGCCCTGGTGCTACTGCAGCTACCGCCCGTCGCGGCCGCTATGGCTATCGGGTCCCTATCATTTCGTCGAAATTCGTTTTGTGGAATTACGTTTCGTGGACACACGTTTCATGGACACACGTTTCGTCGACACTGTGACGTTTCGTCGACAATCGTTTCGTCCTACCCAGAAGGTGGTGCCAGTGCGTGTCGTTTCGTCGACAAACTTTTTTTTTTTTTTTTTTTTTTGCTGTTCCGAATGGAATGCCGGAAACTTGAGGTACAAGCGCTTGTAATAGATGACAACGACTATGCCTAGCGCAGTTGCTTTCCAAGGGGAGCAACTGCGCTACCGTCTCGCTCTCATCCGTATTACATGGAATAAGCAAGAGCGCGCAGGACTTCGCGCGCGGCCTCTTTGGATATTTGCAAGTTCCGATGCCCGTTTATGGGACCGAAAGTTGCTGGAAGAAGAAAAGTGGTGGAGAAAAAAATGCGTAGGCGCAAAACAAAACTTCAATCCAATAGGAAGCGAGCAAGCCGGCCGTGTCGCGGCAGTCGCCTATTGTTCGCTGTGACCTAGCGGTAGCCGCTGCAGGAGCATCGGGGAGCAATAGAATCGATTCGCCCAACCAGGGGGCGCTTCGAAATTCCGATGGTAGCGCCACCGCAGTACAACACATGGTCGTGTCGCGTCGGTTGTGTTTGTAGCGTGGCATTGGCGTCGCAGGTATTTCGAGCGTACGGTGAAGATTTAGAGAAGGATAGAAAGCGTGCGAGAATTATTCCTCATGGTGAGTCAAGAAACGATAGAAAAGCTTCAATAACACGCATCTTCCACCGAGAAAGCGGTTGATTTCCCTGCCAACGAGTCGGGTCCGCCTCTCAAGTACGGCAGTGCCGGCCGTGCGGCGTCTACGAGATAACTTTACAGGTGAGTGTCACTTGTTTAAATTTTGCGCTGTAATAACATTGTGCCCTAAAGATTACTAATCACAATGAACCTCTGTTCTCGTGAGTCCTGTTAGACGACGTCGGGATACTATTTTTCGGTCGCTGAACCACCGGCAGACTACGTTCTCGCACTAGAGGCTACGAGTGGGATAGCTTTTCGAGCTCGCCCACGTCGAAGAAATATTAACATGTCGGGGATCGTGCGGGGATAAACGTAGGTAGAGAACCGCGCCGAGCGGGTATTCACAGTCCCAGAGAGTGGCAGAAACTTTCTAGCTGATAGAGGGCGCGAGAGTCGCACCAGTCGCATCAGCATCAGCAACATGGCGGCGGCCTAGGAGCGTTTTTTGGAAAGGTGTATAGTCCGTTGCAACCTAAGAACGAAGGGCGAGGGTAAGACGGGTCGGGGAGGAGGAAGCAGACAGAACGCTGGAGAAGAGAGGCGGAAACCTCCTTCTCACTTTAGCGTTCCGTCTGCTTCCTCCTCCCCGGCCCGTCTTACCCTCGCCCTTCGTACTTAGGTTGCAACGGACTATAGTGGATTTACGCAACGCTGCCTAATAAAGAGACAAGAAAAAAAAGATGTCCTTTAAAGTATGCAACGCGATGGTTCAGTGACACCGTACGAAGAATATCTATAGAAGACCAGCAACCAGTGAGTATCCCTGCAAAAACTAGCGAATGCGTTCGGAGTTTCTCACAAGATGAAATACGTTCGGAGTTTCTCAAATGCGGTAAAATGTCAAAACATAACCTACGGTGATTGAAGAAAAAAAGAGAAGAAAAGTAATCTAATTGGGGGAATAAATATCACAATGTAACCCTTCGGCTCTTGCAACTGCTCCTTGTTATGTTCTCTTTGTTCCTCATGGGAGAATTTTTTCCCCCTTTTTGATATAAATCAATATTTTCAACGGCAGTTTCGAACTGGGCGATCTACAGCGCGCGCCCCCTGATTTTGAAAGTGTACGTCAGTGTTCTCCGGTTGCGTTGGGCTGTGGGGTTCCTCGTCAGTGGGATGTGACACCCTGCGTAGGCGAAATTCCTGACACTGGTGGGGGATAAATTCCTGCATTTTATTGTTTTTTTTTTGGGGGGTTTTATTTTTCCCAGGACCACGCGTTGTCTGCCCGCACATGCCCACCGCCATTTTCTTTTTGGGTAGTGCTTCAATTTTCCTAACTTTCGATATTTTTCTGAAAGCTGACTTTCGATAGTATCTATAGTCGACTAAAAGTCAATATGGATAGTTTTCGACGCTATCGATAGTTTTGGATAAACTATCGATATTATCGGTTGTAAATATTTCGACAGTTTTGCATCACTACACAGAACCCATTGTCAACTTCGAACTTTCGAAGCAGAGTGAACCAAAAAGAAAGGGGAACCCCTGATTCACCAGCTCTTCCTGAAGCCCAACACTGCCGTTCCTTCTAGCGCGTCTGTAGAACGACTCTTCAGTGTCACCGGAGACGTTATAGCATTCCTGACTGTTCACACCGCGTATGGTGAAGTATGACACAAAAGAGCCATGAAACGTAACTAAAAAAGTTAACTGAATCACTAGAGTCGGAACCTGGGACCGGCGCTGATTAGCTCCCTAGCTCGTGGATGCGGCCATTCCTTCTCAGTTCGGGCCCCTCGTTTTTCATCGTGCCTGAGTTCCCCCTCCTTTTTTTTTCGAACCGATGGCCTCTCAGTTTTCCCAGTGTTCATACTTCATATGAATACGTATGGTAAAAACCTTTGGTGGTTCTGCCAGAAACGCACCGCTACATACTCTCCCTTCAGTGAGGAGACGAACGATTCTACAGTCACGTCCCATGACTTCTTGGGGAAAATTTGTTGGTGATGTAAAACAGCGAGTTGTGGCTTGCATTGTAGGATTTTCGCTGCCGATGTGCACTGGCCAGTAAAGGTGTCGTCCCGACCATGTCCTAGTATGTGGTTGCAGTGGTTTCAAAGAAATGGTGTTTGAACGGTCGATCGAAGATTTAAAAGATGGGTGGTCCTGTGAGGTCGACCTAACTGTTGACGAAGTTTTCGGTTGGTCCGAATCCATCCCCTTTGGGGATGGATCAGTTGGAGCACGGTCTAAATGAGCTGGCTTCACGCGATTCAAAGTTGCAATTTCCTGCCGTCCGGAAATGTCGAAATGTCGGGTCCTTGACAATCTGCGCAGCACCTTGTACGGGCCATCGTAGGGTGGTTGAAGAGACTTCCGCATGGCGTCCTGTTGAAAGAAGGTCTGAGTCCCGGTCGCAAATTCGTCGCTGATGAAAGTAGACTGGCATCGAGCTTGTCGATATGCCGTGGCGTGGAGCTGCTTTATGGATTCTTCTGGTTTGGTGGCGGAACTGTTGAAACCATAAGGAGCAAGAACAATATTACCAAGCACCCATATACAGTATAATCTCGATAAATGGAAATCGCTTAAACGGAATTGCCGCTTAAACGGAACAGTAGCCCGTAAGTTGGTTGGTTTTGTATTCAGATAAGGTAAAAAAACTTTCGGCAATCGGAACTAAAATTTGCGCTTCACCGTGTGCACGGAACCAAAAATAGAACTTCTGGCAGACCCATTGCCATGAGCATCAGCCTTTTCCGGTTCCGGCTGTTTTTTTGTTTTTTTTTTCTAGTCTTGTAAGCCTCGTTGGCCTCGCCTCGTTGGTAGTCGGCGCAACGAATGCAACACTGCTGTTCTTAATCAAGTCGTTCTGTCTCCGTTCGAGTCGCTAGGTTACAGCCGCATCGTTCCTGCCGTCGTGGTGCCTATCGTGCTTCATTGCCGCGTTGGTCTCTTCCAACTTCGGTGGCTCGTAAGCGCTCGCGAAGTTGCGACCTCGCCTCCGTTGTTTCAATGGCGACACAGAAGGGGGCACACCATGCGCTGACGTTGGAAAAGAAGATGGACGTCATTCTTGACTTCGAAAGCGGCTCATACTCGAAGACGGCGCTCGCGACGAAGCACGGCGTCCCGAGAAGCAGCTTAACGAGGATCCTGCACGACAAGGACA